ATCCCCCACAACCACGGCCAACCCCACCTTCTCCACCAACACCTACAATGCCGTCAACCTCCACCACAACCTCCTGTCGCTCCATCGCCGCCATCCCCCTCCATCGCAGATTTGGAAGAAAGAGAAGACCTGCGAGGAAGGGAAGAAGAAGAAGAAGAGGCGGAGGGCGATTCTGTCATAGATCTGTTTAGATCTAGAAGAAAAAGGAGAAAAAGGGGGATCTATGTGGATCGATGTGGAGGAGGATGAGAAAAAGAGGAAGAGACGGAGGATAATGATAAGAAGAGGAGTGGGATTTGTGTGGATGAGAAAAAGAGCAGGGGAAGAAAGAAGAAGGAGGAGGTCGAATCGGAGAAAGATAGAAGAAGAAGAATGAAAAAAGTGGAGAAAGGGAGGAAAAAGAGAAAGATAAGGAGAAGGTGATCCGAAGGAGAGACTGGAAGAAAAAAGAGAGAGAAAGAAAGGAGGTAGAGGGTAGTTTTGGAAGAATGATAAAAAATAAGTAGAATGAGAACATCATTTCTGGACGAGAAAAAACGTACAATGGGAAGATCATTTTCGGACGGAGGGAGTAACAATCTAATACCTTGTTATTAACGAAGCCAAACGCGTTTGATTCGGTCTTGTAAAAAATAGTCACACCGCAACGTGGGCGCGAGCGATGTATGCGGGGCGCGCCTCGCCCGCGCGAGCGTGTGTCGTGCCGATCTAGCCGGACGGCGGCGACGGGGCGCGAGGAGTCCTTTCTTGTTCCCTTCATAAACTCAATTAAATGTTTAAGTTTAAATATGGGAATACGAAAGGTTCAATATCCGGTGTGGGGCAAGGACTTTTACTCTTTCCACGTGTTCGACTTTGTGAATTAATTTCTCATTCACCCGAGCACCATTTTTGGCGTGTAATATGTCGAAGCACTCATCTCACTTACGAGATTAATCGTCCATAACTATTTCGAAAAATAATTTTGTGGACCCTACTGAATTTATGTCCGAAAATGTCCAGTTTTAACTAAAAAATTCCAACCGATTTTTCATTAAACAAATAGAGTTGGAAATCTTAGAAGTGAGTCTAATATCTCAAATACTATATTTCAGATTTTTCTCAATTTTTTTGGAATCAAAACATTCAAAGCTTATACTCAAACTTGTACGTATAGAATGTAATCCTATCACAAGTAGAAACCAATTCAATAATTGAAACTTTCCACATTCGTTCATTTTTTTTACTTTTTGTAGTCAACCAAGATCGACACTCTGCCCATAATTAAATTATAATTATATGAGATATTAATTAAAAAACAAATTTTTGAAAACATTATACCCTCTCCGTCCCATAAAGTGTTACCCATTTTGACTAAAGTAGAAATTAAGGAAGAGATAATTTTGTGTTGACTTTCCAAAAATACCCTTGATGTGATGGGTAAAAGTAGGATGTAATGTGCAGATTATTAGGAAAAAGGTATGATGTGATAGGTAGGGTTTGAAAAAGTAAGGGGTAAAAGTGATTTTTTAATAGAAATGGGTAGGGATTGTGGGACACAATTTTTTTGAAAGTATAAATCTTTTTGTGACGGAGGGAGTACAACATAATTCAAAGAAAAACCATTCTTGTATCAATATCTTATATAAATTTGATTTAATTTATTGTCAAAATTTATCAATTTTGATTACAAAAATCAAAATTAGAAAAATACTCTAGGACAGCATCTAACATCTTCTTCAAGCAAAGTTTGGCTAAAGCAAAAGAACTTGGACATTAGCTAGGATTTGAAAACGTTGAGAAGGTGAGGTTGAATACAAACTTTAACTTGAATAAGAACCATTGTCACAATCAGAAGTGGAGAGTCACGTCTTTAGCTATAAGAGACTAAAGGCATCCAAACTTTTAGAAGACAAGAGAAGGCTGATGTGTACTAGTAGCGGCTGATATTAAAGAAAAGAGAAAGTTTTCAGAGATGCTTATTTGCCTGAAGATCCTTGACATATTAGTTATTTTTCTTAGATTCGGGCAATGCTCTGTTTCTTTCCTTAATTGTTGAAATCTTTTACTCCATCTGTCCCTAAGTATTTATCACTTGACTTTTTTCGGTCAAAATTTACAAATTTTGACCACAAATTAAATAAAAGTGATATGAAATATTAATAAAAAAATATAATTATTATATTTTTATAAAATATTTTAATTTTTTCAGAAAATATAATATATATTTGATTTAATTATAGTTCAAAGATTAAAAATGATTGACTACAAAAAGTCAAAATTTTAAAATATTTTTATTTTTTCAAAAACTATCATATATATTTGATTTAATTGTAATTAAAACATTGAAAATAATTGACTACAAAGAGCCAAATTTGACAAATACTCAAGAAGAAAATCTCCTAAATAAGAGTAAAACATACATCATATCCTCAAACAAGGAGTTCAAACTTAAACTCCTCTAAATAGGAGTAATTAATTAAATTTTGTTTTGATTTACTCTTCCCCACAAACCACACCACATCCCAGCCCTATGCGGTCGAAAACGTCTCCAGACCCCTTCGTCCCAATCCCATCCTTCTACGATCTCCTTCTTTTGTTCTAATCTCAGTTGCTGACGCCGTTAACTTAATCTCAATCCCTCTCCGCCGCTACCATGTCCTCTATACGAATGATTCCACCGCACTTTCCATCATCTCTCTTTCTCTCAAACACACAATCTCCTTCCACCCCTCTCCACCATTTCTATTTTTCATCGCTTGGATGCCTCCGTCCCTTAGGTAAGTTTGAATTCAATTTGATATTTAATTTGACATAAGTAGTTAAATTCTATTAAATCTAAAAATTTACTTCTTCGAGAATTATTTTGTAAAATTGTTACTAATTCTTTTAGCCTTGTGTGAGTTTGAACTTTAGATCAATTTTATATTCAATTTCACATAGGTTGTGACATTTGATTTTAAATCTAAATTTACTTCTTAGAAAATTATTTTGTAAAACATATATTGATACTAAATGATTATTGTGTCGGCAAATAGAGTTTCTTGATGTTTAACATTTTTGAGATTATGCATTAACATATATATGTGTTATATGTAAAATTATACATTGACATATCTGTCATTATACATTGCCAAGTGTGGCACTCTATATTGTCATATTTGATATTATCTCTTGGTTTAGCATTATGCATTTGCATGTATGACTTTATACAATGACATGATTGTCATTATGCGGTTACATGTGACGTTAAATGTGGTCTTGTTTGACATTGTATAGACATTTTACTGTAGCAATTTACTGAGTTTCTATTTATTGCTTAAGAATTTTGACATATATCTACAAGGTATTAATCAAGTCTCACAGATTTATTGATTAAGAATTTTGGCATTAAGTTTGGTCTTGTTTGACACTCTATGGGCCTGAGGCAACATTTAATGGTGATGTTTATTAAGTTTTTTTCTCTTCCTAAGAATGTAAAATGAGAATATTTGAGTTGTGAAATAGGATACACATACAAATATTCAGGAGCAAGGTAGAAATAGTCGTATTTGTCTGTGGTACTGAGCTTTGGGTATGATTTTGTTATCGTCCCTTGACGATATAGTTAAAAGAATCGTTTATTGACAATAATTTAACTTTGTGTATAAAAATTAGCCGGCTTAGTAGTTAGCTGTTATTTTGATAAAAAATAAATATAATGTCCTATTTTATTTTCTGTCTCGATAATATAAACTATTTGTAAAGTTAACCTTTTAATTTAAAAATAGGTAATTGGGTTGATCTCGTGAAAAAGTGACTAACAACATATAGTTTAAGTTTAGACATTGGTGTAAAAAGTTATGAACAAAATAGATGTTACAGTTCAATAAATAAATATAAAGATTTAATAATATAATAATAATAATAATAAATAAATAATTTCCTAATCAATTCTAATAACTCAACGCCAAGGCCCAACCCCTCCTTAAGTTTAAATACACACGCATGCAAGAAAAGAAAAACAACAAAAGAAGGGAGAACAGAGTGTGAGAAGAGAAATACTACTAATTGAGGACAAAAATTAATTAATTACTCCTATTTAGAGGAGTTCAAGTTTGAGCTCCTATTTTGAGAATATGACATAACTTTTACTCCTAGTATGGTCCTTCTCCCATACTCAAGGACATATGTAGTATGGTTTTCTTGGAAAGGTGAGTTGCGGAGGCATTACTTGCTCTTCTTATAGATTACAGATTTAAAATTCAGATGAAATTCAGATGAAGCAATGCCCAGGTTCCTACTTGTGAGAGGTGAGTTGCGGAGGTATTACTTGGCATTGCCTCTTCTGGATTTCAAATACTTTTTTTATTTTCAGATGACCCAATCTATGGCAACAACTTTTTTACTTTATCTTCTTCTAGTTTCCCTCATGGTTCTGCTTTTGATTTCATTTGGTTGGGATCTTATTGGTTATATAGAAGAGAGATTAACTACGAATGAATGATTGGAGACAGAAAAAAAGTAAATTAAGAAAAGGAGGTTGAGATTTGAGAAAAAGATCCACCGGTGAGATGCTCCTCTAGTAACATGGAGAGTTGTCTATCCGTCAACAAGAGAACTGATTGGGTTTTGTAGCAACAGTGGTTATGAGTTTGGTGATCATGAAAGGCGAGAATAAGGTGAAGAGCAAATTAGCATTGAAGGTAGTTGTAAAATTTTGGTTTATTGGTACTGGTGGCCGGACAACTGCTGGTTTGAGGAGCGAAAACGCCAAAAAGAGAAGTTGATTCCTCAAGACTCTTGGTATGCAGACTGTACTGCTACGACTCAAATCGCCGGTTTTGGTTTACGATATTTGAGTGAAATTATTTCGGTTTACGATGCTTGAGCGTTTAAATAGTAAATATGCAATTTAATTTGGGACAAAGAGAGTATAATACAAGTAAGAAATAACACAATAACAAAAAAAACTGACTAATAATCAAACACTGTCATAATTAATAGGGAGTACACATCCCAGATGTCCTATATATGTTATTCGAAACGAACTGTCTTTCGGAAAAAGATAAACCATCATCACAAGTCAACGAGCATAACGTGGTGCAGGCTAAGATTACAGTTTTAAAATTCAGATGAAGCAATGCCCAGCTAGCCTAGATTGGGTCTGGGTCATATCGCCATAGTGGAAAATGAAGTTCTAGAAATAGCATAATAATAATAATAAAATTGATAATGTAATTACATATCCATAAGTTGGAAGTTTTGTAGCTGCTTACTATATAAGCCAACAAGCATCATCATCTTCTCAAACTGAGAGCTCGGTTCGGGAGATGAGAATGCCATCGGTGTCTGCATAAAGCCACTCCCCGTCACATATGCGGGTCCCACCCATGGTGACGGGGACGTGCTTCTCCCCGTGACCTTTCTTGTTGGCTTTCATGGGATGGGGAGCCAAAGCCCTCACCCCAATATCACACCCGTTGATCTCATCGACGTCCCTTATGCACCCGTTCACCACAATCCCAGCCCATCCGTTGTTTTGGGCTTGGACCACGGGGTTGCCGCCCAAGATTGCACACCTCAAACTGCCGCCGCCGTCCACCACCAAAACTCTGCCATTCCCTTTCTCCTCCAGAAATTCCCGGATCAGAACATTGTCTTCGAACACTTTCAGGGTCACCACTGGACCAAAGAAAACATGGCGCCTGCCATATATCTGGAAACCAGGCTGGAGGGCACGGAGTTCCCCTCCCACAATTAGCGGTGCGTTTGCATCACATACTTCTGCAGTGGTTACCAATGCCATACTGCCGAGCACACTGAAATGTACAAAAAAAAAGAGAAAGTTGCATGTTGAAAAGGGACGAAATGCATAACTCGAGATTTGTTCCTAATTGTTTAGCATGAGCCCCAATTATTGATCATTTGGACAAGTAGAGAATGGATTGTTATTCAACCATAGCTTATGGAGTCAAACAGCACTTTTTTACTCCCTCCGTTTGGATTTAGTTGTTAACTTTCTTGAATTCGTTTGTCCAAAACTAGATGTCTAACTTCCAATATCCAATAGAAAATTGTGATGAAATGTCTTAAATATCCTAAAGTTGGGGTATGAACATTCTTGACATGAACTATTGACAAATCATTAGAAATACTTATTTGACATAATAAACTCATTTCTTAAAAATGAGAATTCCAAAGCGTAAAACCATAATTATGCACTTGATAAAAGCACACACAACTTCATCAATGTATCTAACACTAGGTTTGGCATGTCTCAATCTAGATATCAGCTATTTAATGAAACTTTTCACACAGTTTCGATTGCCTGAATGAACTTACTCAATAAATTTAAATTTACATAATGAGCAACTTTTCAAGTATGGTACATCATCTTTTCGACTGCAAATCAATTTTAACCTCGTTCTTATTTTAACACTATTTTGCATTATCTTATTATACTCTGTATCATTTTATATTTTTAAACTAGTAGCTTATCAGCTGATTTTCACAAAATACCATATGAGATCATCTAGCTTACTACCTTTTACATATAAGATGTTAATTAACAAACCAGACACCCCCAAATTATCGGCAACACTCCACGCCACAAAAACTCAACACACCAACACCATATCCCTCATGTGAAAATCAACCTCTGCCCTCTGAGTTCTGAACATGAGAAACATGCTTAATTGGACTAACATTAAATACATATTTAGTAAAAAAATCAATATGTTTCAGGTAGAGACTACCTATAAATGGTTAAAAGGTCAGAATTGTGTATATGACCAGTTCATACATTAACAAAATTAAAACTTGTTTTATTCAAAATACATGAACTAAAATTTTAAAAGATTCATATTTAAATAAAAAATAGAAAAACTCAAAAATCAACGAAATTTAAAAAAAACATTAAAAAAATGTAAACTGCAAATATGGCTCTGTACATGACATAGCAATGTTACCAAATACAAGCTAAGCAACTCAGTAATCAAAATGTATTCACTAATAAAGAATTCAAGCACAATTTGGGTATGCTTGGTTGAGAAAAATATTTTCCAAGAAAACTTGAATTTATTTTCCTGTGTTTGGTAACATTAGTTGAAGGAAAATAGTTTCTGAGGAAGATACTTTCTCCCAATTGAGGGAAAATAATTTCTGTTTGCTTTCTAAAGAAAATTATCATTCTCTATCCACCCCGTCAGTCCTTAACCCACACAAGCTCCCCATCCCACACCCCCATCCACCCACATAACCCTTTTCCATCCCACCCCAGCCTTTACCGCCCCCACCACCTCCACCTACAACCTGCTACCCCCTACCTTGGCCCCACATACCCTACCATTCNCATCGTCCCTCATTACTCGCAACCAGCCCATGAACCCCGTCCAAACGCCCCTGCACCTGCCCCCATCCATCTTTTGTCACCCCCTATGCTTCACATATTATTTAATTGCTTCAAAACCTGTCTTTCAATATTAATTTTCAAATATGAATAATAGAAACTAATTTTATAAGAAAACATTTCCCTTCCTACAAAACAACGGACAATATGGTTCCAAAATATTCCTTAGGGAACATTTTTCCTCCAGCCAAACACACCCATAATATAGCAAAATTTCCATCTGGGGATTTGATTGATTAATAAATGCAAATGAGAGAATATATTCAAGAGCACAATAGTACTCCATAAATAATCGTATGAATTAGCTAAAAACATGGCTCAATAAACATCATGACATCAAGTGACATTGAGATTCAATTAACTCAAATGGTATCACCGTTATAATGCGATGCATCTCTATTGCTATGTTTACCTATGCTCAGACCTATACACTTCTTCTTCCATTACGCCAATTCTTGGCTGACTCCATGACTTTGCTAGTTGGATTAGTAAGTACTAAGCACAGGTTTTCTCATTTTAGTTTTTCTACACATTTAATCTACACTTCTGCTATTTATTCACAAGAAAATGAGAAATCAAATAATTCTCCAATGAGTAGCACTTGGTAGCATAGAAACACGAATCGGGAAACATGAAATGTGAGAAATATTATTTTCAAAAAAGGAAGGCACAATCTGTGGGTACATGTAAAGACTCTAGGTATATATATATATATAGAAAAAGCAATATGCACGTATACATGAGCATTAGAGCATATAGCCAGAAAGTCAACTGCCTCCAGCAAAAATAGTAAATACATAAGCCCCAAGATAGACTCATGTGACTTTACACTAAAACTCATTTTCAGTACAACTACAAAAATTATAAGATCAAGTTCCTTATTATCTTTAATTACAGATATGACACAGTAGCATACGTTTAAGCTAAGTGTATTGAAGTACAAAAACTTTGCTGAGATTTTAAAACAGCACAATGCAAGCCCTAGGGAGCTTCTTTGCTTCTAGAAACAAGTACATAAACAAATATGAAATGAAAACTCACACAATATATTTAAGATGGGATAAAAGAGATTTTATGTTTTTAGAGACTAAAAAACTTGTGATACAGAGTATTTATAACACTCTAGCCATGGATATGGTATATAAAGATGCTGACAAGTAACAACCAAGCATCTCAAATTTTCATTTGAAAATCAAATCCTAACATTAATTGATGTATTTATTTGAACTCTTTGGGTTGCTTGAAACTGGATTTGGGTAAGTTCGGATTTTTACTTTCTGCTGTTCAGTTTACTATCAATTGGGGAGGCCGGGATGACTTGAGTAGTTGAGTTCCAGTAAAACAAAAAGTGATTAGCTGTAAAAGGTGAGACTATGATGGGTCAGACTGTGAGAGAATGAGATATTAAAGAATGTTGATTGAGAGGCATATAAGGTCATTTTGTTTGCAACAAAAATCCTCCGTTCCTATTTAACCTTGCATGCTATTCTAATTATTGGAGTAACTCACATCAATATAATTGCATAACTTTTATTATTCAATCACAACTTATCTTATATATATCAAAATTACTACTCTTATTTATCACGTAATAATAGCAAATACGGAACAACTAAATTAGCCCCATAAACTAAACTACATTTGAGAAAGAAAAATGTAGACATTGAATGTTATCTACAAACTGTGAACAGACATAATAAAATCAGGAAAAAGAATGGATGTTTAAAATCTGTGCAAACTTAGATCAATTCAAAAAGCTCATTCTCCATCTGCTAAAAAATTTAGAAGAAACGCAAACTGAAAAACCAAACCTGAACAAAAAGGTTCCATATTATCTGTGAGAAAAATAAGTGCGAATTTTAAGCAAATAAAGTCGGAAACAAATATGTCGCTCGCGTAACCGTGAAGATATAGGGGAGAGAGGCACCTGGGATTGGATCGAGAGATGCACGGCCGTGAAGAAGACGGTGAAATGAGAGTGAAGACCTGAGCGAGAGGAGCAGACTCCGGAATTTGGGGGAGGGGGTGGTTCACGGAGACCGAGGAAGCGTGTATACTGTTTAGATAAGACGATTATGATGAGATCGGAGAAAAAGAAGCGCGTAAAGGTCAGTGCTGATTTTAACTCTGCTGCCAAAAAAAAATGTTAGAGTCACAAATAAATAGTTCACAAACTTCTTTAATTTGTTTTTTGTAAATTTTAAATTAAAATATCTTTTATTATTCCAGAATTTAGAAATTAATTTACTTACATTTATTGGAGTTTGGATGGAATCCCAAACATGGTCTTAGATCACTCAATTCTATGAAGGTTTGTGAACTTTAGCCTTCCCTGATAAACACTACATTTGACCCAATATATGCTCATTGCTGAGATAAGTGTATTCCAATTTCGGCACGGTTCATGTGACATTGGCTTCTAATGTCGTAACATGCACGATCTGAGCCTCTTGCAGTGCTCCGTTCGAAAAATTGATGATTTCTTCCCCCAGCCCCATGCACCCCAGCAGTCCTCCTCTTTACCGATTTGCTATAGTAATTATTGTAGCTAACCAATAGTTACTATAACCAATCGGCTAAGGGAAGGAGGGTTAAAGGGGGTAAGAACTATCAATTTTTCGAACGGAGTATTGTAGGAGGTTGGGGTCATGCTTTGACATTGAGTTCAATGTTATTTGAAATGTGTCGTTTCAATATTCCCATTTGAGTACGGCCAACCTTAGGAGCTATAAAGTTAAGAGAGGAAGAAAGAAAAGTATATTCATGCATTTTGTTAACCACATTGGATGTAGATAATCTAACTAGAACAACAACAACATGGAAAGAGCTAGTAGAATCTTAATCCCACCCGACAGTAGGGTCTAGAGAGGGTGCAGTGTGTGTACACAGACCTTACTCTGCTTGGAAGTGAGATTTGGTTTTTAAGACACACTCGGCTCAACACAAAAGCACACAAACTATTTGAACACATATGTGCTCTTGATAATAGTGGGAAACAAATCCAAATTGCCATCTTGATTTTTTGCTGTTAAACAGGTGTTGGTAGATAATATCCAATCCATGATGATACACATTATATTGTGTCCCATATAGTCTGGTTTCATTTTTTTGTTTAGATATGAAAAGAATCCTTTTTGCTCAATTGAAGCTTTTTTCATGTTTTTTCCCCAAAAAATAAATTTAGTTAAACCAACTTATACATTTTCTAACAAATGAGTAAGATCGGTGACTAGTAACCTTTATACCTTGACGAAGTTAAAAAGTTGTATTGAAGGGTGCATTGCATGGATAAAGGGCACTCTTTTAGCCCAGCCCACTTAGCTAATGGCTATTAGGTAATTTCAGGGAAGTTGTAGTTTTTTGGTATTGAAGTTACCAAGGCGGTTATTAAGGAATCTGCATCAACTTCAGAGAATTAGATGTATTGATCATAATTCACAAAATGCCGATTTTCCACATTATCATTCAAGAAAGCAAAAGAAGCCATTTCCTGTACCAATTCTAGAGCTAAGGAGAACTGCCAGAGAGAGACTAGAAAACAAGTCAAGCCTACCCAAGAGATGGTTGCCACCACCAAGAGAGGGGTTGGTTGTTAAAGAACTAATTCCTAACATTGATAAACAATATCAAGCGGCTCTTGAAGGTGGTGCCTCTTCATGCTTGCAAGTAAATTTTCTACCTCATCTCTCTGAGCTTAGGTCATGTTCTCTTCGATCACATGATCTGATCTAGTCTGATCTGATTTGATTTCAATAAGAATAATAAGCAATAAGAATAAGTTGAGGAAAGCATGACTTTAATATGGGTGTCGATGTTTCAAAAATGTATTCACTAAGGCTCAATCATTTTTCATTTTCCTTTGTATTTTTCAGTGTAATGTCAAAAACATGCGAAAATAAATTTTCTTGTCATTTTTTCATCTCCCTAGATGCTCAGATGCCCCCAAGACTCGTGCTTTATTTGACTTTGGTAATGTGTATATCCTTGAAGGTGGTGTAATGACATTCATGTTGGGCCCACCGGGCATCCTTTCAAGTCGTGCAGGGGCCCATAGGCTTCAGCCTGAAAAGGACTTCACGAGTGGGGAGAGAGTGTAGTGGAGGATGTTATGGCACAAGTGGAATTATACCATTTATATGATCATTTGGGAAAGCGAATTGCTCACGAGGAGGGGTTTTTCATCCCTATGATACCAGCGGTGGTGGAGCTTTGCATCCAATCCAGTGTGGATTTACTAGAGTATCCCACCAAGAGGAGGAGAAAACCGATAATCCGCACCGGAAGGAGTGAGTTTATCGACGCGGATGAATTAGATTTACCGGGCCCCACTCAGGAACCTCCGAGACCACCGATACTAGCTGAGGTTCTTGATGCTGAGGTGTCACCTCCGTCAGGGAAAGAGGAAGTTGTTCTTCTTTCCGAAGAAACGCTCCGAGCTTGGGAAACCATGAGAGGAGGAGCCAAGAGGCTGATGAAGGTGTATCCGGTGAGGGTTTGCGGGCACTCCTCGGAGGTGCACATGGTCCCAGCGGGCACAAGGCACAGGTCTGCGGGGCCCACAAGCACCACCAGCGCAACAGGCAACACGAGTGGCAGTTTAAATGCTATTTAGAGAAATGACTTAAGCTTTAGGGCTTTGGGGTGTGATGGAATAAATCAAAATGGATCTCTAAACTGTCTGTGCTTCTTTAATTAATGAAGTAGCAGTTAGTCAAGCAATTCGACGTTGAGCCAGGGGTCTCTTTGGAAACAGCCTCTCGACTTTCAAGTAGGGGTAAGGTCTGCGTACACACACCCTCCCCACACCCTACTCTTATGGGATTTAACTGGGTTGTTGTTGTTGTAATTAAGCTTTATGGCTATTTAGTGTAAATATTTCTACGAGTATTTCATCATCTTATTTCTTACTATGTTGGTAAAACGTAAAAGTGTATCTTTGAGTTTAAATGCATGAGTAAATGAGTCCTATCATACACTCAAATTGTTTTATGGAAGTTTATCAAGTATTCTCCACACCTCTAAAAGATTATCACATTTTAATTATTTTGGTCAAATTGTGTCACTCTTTGATCACGAATTAAATATAGTTCAAAATAATTATATATTATAAAGAATTGATATTTCAAAACTATATTTTAAAATAAATTAAATTTTACTAAATTTAATAACTAAATATATTTTTTCCACAATTCGTGAGTAAATGGTGCTACAATTTGATAAAAAGACGTCAAATTGTGACAATTTTTAGAGACGGAGGGTGTAAATTAATACGAGTAAGATAAGTAATTCGTACTCTAATAAATAAATAAATAAATACTTGTGATATTTATGTATGTGAGAAAGTTTGTCTTTTTTCACACATGCATATAAGAATTAAAGTTAAATTGCATCGTTAGTCTCTAAGTAACTCTCTCCCTCCTATATTTTTCTTTTCATTTCACAAAATGAAAAAAGTTCAATTTATTTTATTTAATATTGGTAGAGAAATAAAAAATAAAATTTAAATATTAAAAAATTAAGTCCAAAGTTTAACAAAATAAGTAATGAAGAGAATATTTTTATTTTATAATATAGGCCATGAAAAAATAAAAATAAATAAAAGTTTCCGAAAAATTGGAATAGTACACTAGAAAGAAAGATATGTGATAGAGGTTATTTCTTCATCTTTAAAAATTTCACAAATAATTTTTTCAAGTCATGAGAGCAATGCATAGTTGATATTTCTGTTAAATTTACCGTTAATCTATGTATTTTTTTCATTTTCCATTATTAATACATGTAAGAAAGTTTCTTTTTTCCTAGAACTATGTCATATTTAAGTCTTTTTTATAAATAATACAGTGATAAGTTTTAGTCCAATTTTTTTATCAGTAATACTCCCTCTGTTTTTTAGTATTTATTTACGTGACTTTTTTTGATCAAAATTTGTATGTTTTGACTTCAAATTAGATAAAAATGATATTTCATATTAGATATTGATACAAAAAAGTTTTATTAGATTTATTATATCAAATATTTTCAAAATATTATTTATCTGATTAATATACAATATACATTTTTTTAAATTATAGATCAAAAGTTGAAAACAATTGATTGAAAAAAGTAAAAAGTGAACAAATATTCAGGGAAGGAGGTAGTAAAAATTAATTTCAACGGTAAATTTGAGAGGAAAAAGCATTACTACATCTGTCTCAGAGTATTCATACTTTTTTTTAGTCAAACTAGATGAATTTTGAGCATTAATTAAATAAAAACAATAATATATTTTAGTATAAAAGTGATTTTAATATATTTAACTAGTTTAGAATTTTCAAAAAGCTATTCTATTCTAATAATATGAAAATACAAATTAAAAGTAATTAATAGTTAAAATTTATAACTCAAAAAAATCATATTCCACTAATAGTTGATTGAGTGAGGGAGTAGTATTTAAATTGAAAACTAAAGAGGTTTTAAAACACATTTCTTTTGCAAGCTTTCCTAAAGATTCATGGAAAGGCACGTATGTATAGTGTAGAAGTATATGAATCCTCACGGGATTTTCGCTCGGGATATGGTAGGGGTACACCAAAAGTGTACCCCAAATGTACACCACTTGTCTCTATACCATTCATTTTATTTTTTTTTTGTTTTTTACTTTTTTTGAAATTTTCTTGCTTTTTTGTATGGTGATGGAAGAGGTGGGGATGTTTGGGGTAACTTTTTTGGTGTACCCTATCATAAATCACTCACTGCATCCAGATGGAGTTCGAAGACGCCATTACAGAAACACGGAATCAAGATTTTGCACCAGAAAACCATCACCGTGGGCTAGCACAGCAGCATCCCATTATCAAAGGGGCTCATGGATATGTACGGGGTTTCTTAAGATTTCCGATCCACGAAGCTGGTTTTCCTGAATCTGAAGAACCCTCTTGATATCACTCTATGGAACGGTCTCATGGCGGCTTACACGGGTCACTCCGTCTTCACCGAAGCTCTTCAGCTCTTTCGCAAATTATTACTCTTATCCCCTTTTCTCAAGCCTGATGGGTACACTTATCCCAGTGTTCTCAAGGCGTGTGGGGGTCTGGGATGCCACGACGCGGTGTACGGAAGGAGTGTTCATGGTCGCGTGATCAAGACTGGGTTTTTGTCTGATGTTGTTGTGGCGAGCTCTGTGGTGGGAATGTATGCCAAAGGGGGCAACTTTGGATCTGCCACTGATGAGGTGTTCGATGAAATTCCCCTGAGAGATGTGGCTTGCTGGAAGCCTGGAACACTCTTATTTCATCGTATTACCAGGCTGGGGAATGGGACAAGGAATTGGAGCTGTTTGAGAAGATGAAGGAGTCTGGGTACAAGCTGAATTCTGTGTCGTACACGGCTGCCATATCTTCTTGTGTTAGGCTTCTTCATTTGGACAGGGAGAGAAGATCTATGAGGAGCTGGCAAATGACGGGTTTGCCTTTGATGGGCTCGTTGCCTCTGCTCTTGTGGACATGTATGGGAAATGTGGTCATATGGAGAAGGCAGAAGATGTATTTACATGAATCCCAAACAAGACTTTGGTTTCTTGGAATGCCTTGATTTCGGGTTACAGTTTGAAAGGGGACAGTGAATCTTGCTTTCGCCTTCTGCAGAGGATGAATGGTGAAGATATGAAACCTTCTTTGACAACCTTGAGCAGCTTGCTATCTGCTTGTTTCAGATCAGCCCAACTGTGTCACAGAAAATTTGTTCACGCTTACATCATCAGACACAGAATAGAAACTGGCACATTTCTTCAATGCATACTTATCGATCTATACCTCAAATGTGGAAGCGTCGAGGCTGCCAAACAAGTCTTCACTACAACCCCAAAAGGGGATGAGAACACAATGATCTCTGGGTTCGTATCATTTGGAAATTACTTGGAGGCCCTTGGCATCTACAGTGACATGAAGATGGCGGGACACACAAAACCGAACGCGATTACTTTCACCAGTGTATTGGTGGCTTGTTCACACAATTAGCTGCACTAGATATTGGGAGAGAAGTTCACAAGAGCATTGTTGCACAAAAGTTGGATTCAAGTGAAATAGTCATGGGAGCACTCCTTGATATGCATGCTAAGTGTGGTGCCTTGAATGAAGCTCTTGAAGTGTTCCACCATCTTCCTTGGAGAGACATTGTATTGTGGACCTCTATGCTAGTGGCTTATGGGTCCCACGGCCAAGCAGTTGAAGCTTTACGCCTCTTAATGAAATGCTCCAACAGTGTAATGTTAAACCAGACAAAGTCACATTCCTTGCAATGGTTTCAGCTTGCAGCCACGCGGGATTAGTTTCCGAAGTTGCCACTATTTTAACCTAATGGTAATTAGTTATGGAATCAAACCCGAGATTAAAGACTATTCTTGTCTCCTGGACACGTTCTGGAAGATTGAAAGAAACGTACAGAATTCTTCAGAGATCACCTTCCATGAGAGAGGATGTTTCGATGCTAAGCACATTGTTTTCTGCTTGCATATGCATAGGGAAGAAGAAGGTATATATAGGGGAGGAAGTTGCAAAGCTTCTTACATAGAAAGATTGTGATGATCCCTCAACTTGTGTGGCTATGCCATGTTGAAAAAAGAAAAGATGAGCAAACTGAAATCAGGAGAAAGATTGATAATTGAAGGAATGAATAATACTCTTTTTATTACTGATAGCAAAAACTGATGAATAAAAAAGTAGAACAACTAAGCCTATAAATAGGCTACATGTAACAACCAACCTTAGCTAAAAACCTGGAACTAATTAAATTATTATATAAACTAATTAAATAAGAGCCACATAAAATAAGCACCCTTGACTAAATCTATCTTCTGATCCCACAAAAGTAGGTCAGCCACAAACTGTCACTCTCCTGATGCCATAAGAATAGGTCAAGTGCAAACTATCATTCTCCTAATCCCATAAGAATAGGTCAACCACAAACTGGTGTTGTTATTTGTTTAATACTTCCCCTCAACACCAGGTGTATTATTCTTTGTGAGTCCAAGTTCACTGCCAAAGATTTCAATCTTGTTACCACTCAGGCTCTTTGTAAACATATCTGCGACTTGACCTTTTGTTCCAACATGTATCAAGTCTATTTCTCCCATAAGAACTTTCTCCC